ATTCATACATGTGATTAATAACTTATAATTGTACTATGGTACATAAAAAAAAACGTACGCAGACAGCACCGAACAAAGAGAAGGGATTGTCCTAGGTGCGTGTGACATCATCACCTTCACCTAAAAATGGGAGGGGCAGTAAATATCTGCCTCTTTCCTCTGTTCGTCGTTTAAAGGGGTCTCCGTTCCAAGACGGGTGAGAAACAGTGTAAGCTACTACCGTACCGCATTCATGCTACTATTGTCGGCATATAGGCCGCTATTTAATCAAGAACTATCACGACAAATCTAAACGATAAAACGGAGAAACTGCACATTGTTTTCAACTTACCAAATGCACTATCACCGATGAGATTTATCTAAAATCGAGCCTCATCGTTGCTGTCCGTAAACCATGAATAATAGGCCTACACTTTCTCGAGATAAAAAAAAAACAGCCAGGGATTCTGCTACACAAACGGCTTTGAGCTAATTTTTACGGCTGTCTGTTCTCCCTGCAGACGTGTTGGCTTAAATAACACTAAATTGACAACAGTCCACATCGCAGTTTAACATTAGATCCACGCATGCGTAACCGACCTCGGGATTACACATATGACCGTCAAGACTTCTATACTTTTATGATTTAGTCTTTTGTAAAGGTATTGGTGACGTATGCAGAGGTAGACATAGACAGAAGAAGAATGTCTTTGTACAGTTTTAATCTTGCAATATGCATAAAGTCATTATTATTGTAGATCCTTTTCAAAAATACTACCACATTGATATTCCAGGGTTCATAATAATGCATCATATGCCTAATGATTATTATGAATATTAATAAATAATAATAATAATGATTACGAATAAAGAATAATAATAAAGATTATGAATATTAAGAAATGATAATTAATATTAATTAATAAATTAATACTACAGTACTAATAATAATGAAATAATAAAATAATAATATCTCTTATAGATATAAAACATATCGTGACCAAAGGCCAAATTGCAAGTTATTTAAAATTTGCAAGAACATTTAAAATTCATAAATGAATAATAAAACAAATAAATGTATCTGCATAGTTACTTGCACTGCACATAAATGGTGAATAAAGTGTGCAGACACAGATGGTAATAATAAGAATAGTAATTATATTATTTATATTTAAACGTTTAATTTATTTATCCACATATATTCATAATAATAACACAATTTGTACTAATAATAGTAATTATAATATTAATAATAATTAATAATACTGTAATAATAAATGTAAATTTTATTCTGTCTTCCGACGTCAGCATCACAAAGTTCCCAAAATGACACAGGGTGCCATATCTAAATCAGAGACCAGCACATGAGACTGGGCCACTTCACAACCCATCAAGCCTGACCGCTTTCAACAACCTAGCCGCTAACTATGCACAATGAATAAGTACACCTTACTTGCAAAATGACCTGCTTAGAATTTCCTTATTACAATCTGTGTATAAATCTTACCTAGTATAGGCCTAAGTATTATTAACAAATTAATTAATTTATTTATTTGTTTATTATTTAACAGCTGTCTAAACTTGCTCAATTTATTCACAAGAAATTGTGTTTTTTTGGCCAAAATATTGTTTTTACATAGCATTATTATTGTTATTGTCAACTTTATTAGGCATGCAGTGTAAGCTGACCGATTATTTTGTATGATCATATGAGAGTGTGTGAAATTAATATGCAATGTACGTAACACATATACTTTGCATGTGTTCATCGGGAAGATTATGAAACAAAATGGACGGTGTGTACCACGTGACTTTCGTAAACCAAGGAGCGGAATGTCGCAACTCTTTATATATATGGCTCTGGCTGCGTAGAGCGTATCGTTTTTTCACGCTCCCAATGAGCGTTGTTGGCTCTCTTGTTCTATTTATACTCTTTGCCTAAACCTATATAAGTACCTTCCGCCTAAATGTTATTCTGCTGACAATTCTTCTGACTTCAACATCACAAAGTTATGAGAAACGGCTCCAAAAAAGACATGGGGTGCCATACTAACACATAGACCGGCACCTGTGACTAAGTCATTCCATAACCCAACAAGCCAGTCTTGCTTTCAAGCAATCTAGCCACTGAGTATGAACTATATTATAAATAGTTAAATGAATAAGTACCTTATTTGCATAAACATCTGAATAATCACTCTCTTAGAATTTCCTTATTTACACAGTATTAGTATTATTAATTATTTAATTTTATTATTGATAATTTGCCAGCCATAACTCAAATTTACCTATCTTTAATGTTAGCGTTGGATTGTGCCCTCACTAATATTCATGGAAATCATGTGTAAACTACTAGTGTAAGTTCCGGTTAAATATCCACTGCCTAATTATTACTTAGGCCAATATCTTTTTGTTCGACTTCCATGAACCTATTACACACATATGCAACTTTTAGAAGCTCATCTGGCGTTATTCAAACTTCATCTTCTTTACCGTTACCCCAATTAAAGTACACCATCCCGTTGGCGTCCTATCGGCTAAATGTCTACTGCCTAATTATTACTTATACCATGGCCAATATATTATTTTTCTAAATGTTTCTCATTGGGCGTTCGGCAATATATTTTCGGCTTCCATTAACCTGTTAGACAAAGATACAACTTTTAGCCATTCTTCTGGCGTAAATCCAACTTCACCTTCTTTACCGTCACCAAAATTAAAGTACACCATCCCGTTGTCTGCCTGTTGACACATTGGTTGTTGGTCAGGAAATGGTTCTTGTAAGCCAATTTGAGTTCTTAACTGGAAAAGTGGAGGTTCTGTATAATCCTGTTGCAATTGGCTACCTGGGTCTTGCAACTGTAATAGTTGTGACACGTGTTCTTGATGACCGATCGCTGGTACGTTGGGTGAGAATTGTTGCTGCTGCTGTTGAAAGGCGAGACGTTGGAAATTCTGTTGTTGCTGCTGTATCAGGTCAAACTGTAGCTCCATCTGTTGTCGACCGTCTACCTGCTGATGCTCTTCCATAGGTTGTTGCTGTTCCCTCAGTTGATGCTGCGCCATTGGCGAAAGATGATGCTGCTCCAATTGTTTTTGCGGTTGCTGATAATGATGACATGGATTACCCTGTTGTTGAAACATGTGGTTTCGCCTTTTCAACATATCCTGAAGATCGAGACAATCATCAAGTAATTGACTGAAGCTGCTAGTTGTTTCCTCATCAATACTCATGTTTTCTGGTTCCTCGGATCTTTCTTTACCTTGTTCATCAAGTTTTCGAATTCTATGTGCCATCCTTTCGAGAGAACTACAGATCTGGGACGATCCTTCAAGAGAAACAAAAATGAAGTTCTGGTTCAATCCCATCGAAATCGTCTCAGAAGATTCACGACCTTCTTCAGTTGCCATCACCATTTCTTTGGCTTTCAATGGAACGACAACCATTGAGATCAAACGAGTGTGCAGTGAGGTAGGCTGAGGTCTGTCTTCACCTAGCTCTTTATGTCTTTCCAGATATGGCTGCCACGTCTGCCCAAAGCTGAAGAAAATCTTGTGTCGTTTGAAGGACTCTCTGTTATCCTTACGCCTGCCAAAATTTTGGGACAACCAGGACCAAAACTGCCGTTGGAATGCTGGGTAGTCGAAGAGTTTCACTTTTTGGTTGGTTTCAATTTTAACAGGATCATCATTGGCGTGATATTGAGAGCTGTGGTAATACACAACAGTGCGGCATCGTCGCTTCGCGTATATGCATTCATCTTTGGTGTCGTATTCTAAAAGAAGTCTGCAAGAAAATATTCACGAAGATAATAATAATAATAATAATAATAATAATAATAATAATAATAATAATAATAATAATAATAATAATGATGTTAACAACAACAACAACAGCAGCAGCAGCAGCAACAGCAACAACAACAACAACAATAATAACAATAATAATAATAATAATAATAATAATAATAAAAATAATAATAATAATACTCATAATGATAATAATAATAATGTACAAAAAGCAAAACATATACCGTAAAACCTCCAATTAAAGCCCAGGGCTTCTTTTTTTGCGAACTTTAATGGGCTTTTTTTCGGGGTTACTTTTGCGAAGTAAAGACGGAGGCTTCTTTTCAAAATGAATGCTGTAAATTTTGGCAATTTGTACTATAAAACAATAAATAAGGCCACTGTATCATCTTTTTGTATCATAGAGTATACAACCGGCATTAAATCACCTAAAACTACTGAGGAAACCCAGCGTGTTTTTTTTTAAATTCATGTACAGTGTATGTACTGTACTATATCGAAAAGAAGCCTATGCTATATCTTGAAGAGAAGACAATGGACTTTTTTCGAGGCTGATTTTGTAAACTAAAGAGGGAGCTTCAATTCAAGATGGGCTTCTTCTCGAGAGTAAACCCACTGGGCTTAAATTCGAGGTTTTACGGTATAATCCTGAGTTTAATGTGCTACAAAACTATACTGGTAACTAATACCTATATAATTAAAAAAATAAAAACTGATCAAACATTAACAATATAACATTGGGTAGATCTATATAAATATAAGAGTGTATGCTAGGACTCTGAAATTGATGCTTATGAATAATATCAAAAAGTATATAGAAAACTATATATATAACAACAATATCATATACATCATAATATTTACATACGTATGAAATATATTTGTATGGCATAAAACTCATGAATATATATATAGAGGTATATATAT